GGGGGGGGACCGACGACGACATTCAACCTCATACCCGTGTACTAGTAGGAACAAATATATTTTATTTCTCCTTCAGCGGATAGAAGAACAAGAGGTCACGAAATTTTAGTGATTTTAGTAAGTTACTGTGACAACTTCCCATTCAGAACAAACCAGTTTCATTAAAAAATGTAAATCAATGTACAAAAGTTATTAAAATGCACATAAAATTGAGGTAACCAACTCGGTACCGGTACTAGACTAATACTGAGGGTAATTTACCACAAAAAAGGGGAAAAAAGAAGTTTCATTAAGATATCTAGATTCTACATATAATGTTTCACATGATCGTAGGTCTTGGCAAGCTGGAAAATAATAAACGGCGGATATGGAATAAGGAGCGGAGGGAGGGGAGGAGGTTTGCGCAAAAACCGCTTATTCGATACCTCAGAGTAGGGGGCAGATAGCATCGGCCCTGTCTGTTACTGTCAAAATATGCGGAGAGGGATGCAGAAGCCAAAGAGAAAGACAAAGGTACTCAATTATTTTTTTTACTGCGTATTGCAAGAATCGAACTCCATGCAACAACAGAGAGCTTAACTGTCATACCACAGACGTCGGCAGCTCATTTCACATTTCCATAGTTCACAATTCAGGCATCAAAACGAGATGTGTATTTAATCCCTTTTTAATACATGGCTTAAACAGCTTAAAACGAACTTTTATATTTCAAATGCCAAAGAGGGATAGCTCTTTTGTCATTTCTTTTTATATTGACATAAATACAGAAGCCCCTTCTCGGGCTTTGTGCTACAGTTAATAAGTAGTGCATGTGAAAGACTGGCGTTCACACCGTGGCAGAAATGATAAATCATTGTACACTTGCAGACTTAGGCTTCAATAAATCTTCCTTTAACTTAAAAAAAAAAATCCCGTTCGGTTGAACTTGTGCCTGGCCAAACACGTTTACATTAGCAAGTGACCATGCCTATGAACAGCAAACTAAAAATAGAAATCAAAAGCCACGAAGAAATAGCTTAATAATACCGGACAATATTCTCGACACTTTACAAGTTGCCCCCCCCCCCCCCCCCCCCCCCTCCAAAAAAAAAAGAAAGAAAGAAAGAAGAAAATCCTGGAAATCCATTACTCCCACATCGATTCCATTTACATGACTTAGGGGGCCGGCTGCTTGACCCTGCCTTATCATTATTATTGTTATTATTATTATTATTATTATTATTATCGCAGTACATGAAAATAGAAGTCCCTTCTTGGGCTTTGTGGCACAGCCTACAAGGAACATGTCAAACACACAAACGTTTGCAGCGTAGGAGAAAGCGATTTTTAACTGCACTCTTGCATTGTATCATCCTCCGGCAAACATACGGCTTCACAACAGCTTCTCTTTGACGCCATAATACTTTGCTTTTTGACAACCCAAAATATATATATATACCCCAGAGTTGGGAAATTAAAAAAAATCAAAATAGACCCCATCCCCCTTTCTTTTAAATACCATGTGCCCAGCTGGGAGCAGGAATAACCAAACCAGAGACTTACTCAAGATAACAAAAACCAAAATATAAATATCCAGAAAAACAACTCGGCAGGTGGACACGGTCATACCACTGACGACCTCTTGCCGGCACAGACGACGAACAATACATCTGCACTTCACGGGGTTGAGTTTTATCTCGTTTTAGTAAGAATATCACGACCTTGTAACGCAAAAAGGTTAAAATATTATGTACGTGCTGAAGACAAGAGGTGTCACTAAAGAATAACATACAAAGAAAAGGAGGGGGGGAGAGAGAGAAAGAGAGAGAGAGAGAGAGAGAGAGAGAGAGAGAGAGAGAGAGAGAGAGAGAGAGAGAGAGAGAGAGAGAGAGAGAGAGAAGTAAGGACTGTGGATATCTAATTCCACAGAGGACGCCAACCATGCCAGAGCACCCGCCGAACACCGAGAAAGAAAACAGGAACCAATTATTTATTTTTTAATACAGGTAAAAACAACGTGTCAAGTGGGCAGGTTCATAGACCACAGATTATGACCTCCCTAGGACAGAAAAAAAACGGGACTCGCTGGATGAACAATATACTTACTTATGAACCAGACCTGAACAACCCAGGAGTCAATCAGAGGACATAGATCAAAACTCCGTTGTTAGAGTTAAAAATAAAACCATCTACGCAGCCATATCCCGCTGGGCTCAGAGCTATGAGACAGGACCAGACCGCAGAGATAGCTAATACATGATACTGTTGTACTTGGGACTTCCTTCAGAAAGGCGAGACATTAAGTACGGTATAGAACAAAGGGATAGAATACCCTCAGGGATCTTTCCTTTGGTTCCATTTTCAAAAGGAATAAACCTTTCATCACGCCCAGTTTACTTTGCGGCACTACCATTTCTTCTTTTTAAAAAAAATATTTTAAAAATGTGGGCGGCCTAACATCAAATCTCAGTGGCGTAGAAAAAGGTGACATTTTAGTGTATCCATATGTACCACGCCCGTGCTCATAGAGACAGACAGACACACAGCTGCACAACAAGACACCGAGCACATGATAAATTATGTTCCTAATATCGTAAGCTTGTAGTCACAAAATGAGACCTCAGAAATCGATATTACACCTGGATGTAGACATTTTAAGTGATTTTCTCAGAATATCACATCATACAAAGTAACCAAGGCAAAGGAGAACGGCCGAAGACAATAGTACTGAACAGCGCATGTGTAATTCTTGCTTTTAAAACTGCTCTTTAAAAAAAGACGAAACAAAAGACAATGCCAATGCATTTAACTATTTTAGTTTTTCTTTGGGT